TGTTAGGTAGAAAATAGGAAAAGTTATCTTAAAAATAGGATATGAGAATTGGATCCCAGAGATGAGTAGGATGGTGGAGGTACGTACGTACGTGCAAGCATGCTCACATACGGTAGGGGTGGAGGTGGGGGTACCGGATTTATTTTTGTGAGATGTAGCAGTTATAATTATTGGGTCTACCTATTTAAAGGAAAATCTATGGTTTAATTTTTTTTTTTCATAATTTCTAGGAACTTTTAATTTATTTGAGCACTACATGGCGTCTTATGAGTGTTTGTAGAAAATCATGTGACAGTTTAAGAGGATTTGTAGGGAGTTTAATGAATTTTTAGTATATAATAGATAATTAATATAGCATTTTTTGGTTCTTTATGTACTGAACTGCTCGCTAGAAAATATGGATAAGAAAGTGAGCAGGAGAGATAATAGGAGATCATTTACGATGGCACAATATATATTACTTTTTGTAATATTTTATTACTATTTAGTTGCGATAAAGGGGTTTATGTCAAATGATATGTTTCTTATATATATACATGCCAAAATATGGTAAACATAGTTCAAATTAAAATCGAATATGTTATAAGATATTCTAATTATTTAGTTGTTGTGTTTTTTATATATAAAATTTTGCTACCATAAATGGAAGGAAGAAGAGAGGGGTGGAGAGACATACGTACTTTGGATGTACATACGTGTTAGGAGAGGAGGGACCTAGGGAGAGGTGTGGACGTGCGTGACATTTGTTTTTTACATATATAGATCTAATGGTGTATAAAGAGAAAATCAATGGTACGATGTTTTCCTTTTTTTTTGGAATTTTTTAGATTTCTCTAATTTATCATAGCGCCACGTGGCGGCTTAGTAGCGTTTGTAGGAGCCACATGGCGGCTTAAGAGCGTCTCTAAGAAGTTTAATGAACTTAAGATGTCTATTTGTAGATATTTTTTTCATAAAGATAGAAAAAGAAGAAAGAAACAAAGAGAAAAAAAAACGAAGGGAAGATAGGGAGCGTACAATAAGTGCAGGAGGTAGGGACAGCAGAAGTTTTTTTTTCTTTAAAGATAATCTAACGATTTAAAATAATGGACCCACCTATTTAAGTGAAAATCGATGGTTAGATTTCTCTATTTTATTAAAGTGACACATGGCGACTCATGAGTATTTTTAGGATACCACGTGGCGGCTTGAGAGTGTTTGTAGGAAGTTTAATGGACTTTTAGTATATAATAGATAGATAGATAATAGATAGATAGATGTGTCGACATACATTATGTGGGGATTAACACCCACAGATTAACATCAGCATTGTCAGCCATACAAAATACGAAGCAAAGCGAACGGCACATCAAACACAAATACATATAATCTCTAAAACAGATCAGGATACATAGATAAGATTAGAAATGACATGAGTGGATGCAAATACTGTTCAGGCGATGAATTGAAGATCTGGTGATCAAGGCACATGTATAACTTTGATTGCAGTAGTAGTGTCACGCATAGCGGGCGTAGATGGTTTGTGATCTCGGTCATCATCTGAGGTGTTGGCCTGGTAGTCATCGGAACGGCCAGGAAATCCCTCGCCATCCTTGCTACTATCGGATACCTGTGACAGTTCTCCTTCCACCATTTGAGAATGTCGAAATTCTCTTGCTTGATTGGAACGGTCTTTTCTCGCAGGTAAGCATCAAGTTCTGTTCTCCTGTGATCATGCTCCATACTGGATTGACCAACAGTTTGGAAAGTACTGTTATCAATTTGCTGGAATGGATCGATGTCCATTACATTTTCATTGTTATGATTGGTGTGCTGCCTTGCACTGCCCTGATTACTGTAGTCCTGAAAGAGCTGAACGACTGCTGCTTGAACCTCCGAAATGCGATCTGGAGGTAGGGAAGCTTTCTTTAGAAGGCGTTCAGCGTTGACGAGCTTGAATCTTGGGTCTAGAATAAGCGATATGCTTTGTGATAAATATGAATCCTCAAAAAACTTGTCCATATATTCTTTTGTTTGTTCAAGATGGGATTGCATATCATAGTCCTCGATATCAGGAGCTTGTTCTTCGTCAATATCTTCATCATCACTATCATCTTTCCTAGATGCATTGATCCATTCTGAATCTTTCTTTTCAGCTTCACAAGCTCTATAAGGGATAGGTTTGATGTTGGAGAGCTGGAGTCAGCAAATGTTTTGATAGCATTGTATATTACACATAATGTTGTGCGAAACAGCTCGGTAGTATCTGTTTCCTGGAATGTGTCATCTACTAAACCGGCAATTTCTGCTGTAGAAGAAGAGCGTTCGTCGTGAAGAAACTGTAGGGCATAATACAACGCATACCACCAGTCGTCGTATGTCCACGGGTGATTCAGCCTTAGACGTGAAGAAATATCTCTGCGTTTCTTCTTAGTCCAACATAATTCTGCAAAGGCGAGAAGGCAATGCTTTCCATAATGACGATCTAAATAATCATATTGTAGTTGCTGAGCAACTCTATAGAGCTTCCAATGCATGTCGGTAGCACGTAACAACTTTCGTTGGGTTGCAGAGAGGTGATTAAGATGATTGTCCTTGTCCAATTTATTTTTTAATATGTTCCAAAAATATTCACTTAATATAGCGCCAGCAAGCTTAGGCAAAATACCATAGGAAGAAATAGTTCCCACCACTTCATCACAATCATGCCGCCAGACGGAAGAGTAATCTTTGACGTCCAATATGTGATCATAGCTAGGTTCGTCGTGCTGATCATCCTTAAACACCCGTATTACTCGCCTACAGAGATTCCATTCATCATCAATGAAGTGGGCCACAAGGAACACAGTATCTACCATGGCAGTTCGAGCTTCGCCTTGTGACAAACTTACCAGCCCAGGCGTACGTGCAATAGCATCCTTTAAGCTGCACGTTTCTTGGTCGAAGAGCGCATCACACCTCTCCTCCACATCATCTCGCGAAGGCATCTTGAAATCAGGGCAGAGCATTCCAACAAATCTTATGAACTGCTCGTCTTCCACCATCGAGGAAGGGAACCCGTGCAGTGCGATCATCCTGATGAGCTGATCTTCAGCAGCAGCAGCAGCAGCAGCCGCGGTTTGCTCACCGAAATTATCAGAGCTCGATCTCGAGAAAGCCGGCGCATCCTGCAAATCGTGAATCCCCGCTTGCACAGATGCACCATGAGAGCCCTGCTGCCTGGCACGCTTCCTTGCCGGGCAGGTATCCTGGTAGTGCCTGTTGAGACGCGAGGTGCCATTCTTGAAGCTGAGCTGCTTCTTGCAGTGCCTGCACTCTGCCTTCTGCCCAGCCTTCTCCTGAAAGTGATCCCAACAATTTGACCACTTGCTATGGTCTGCGGCATTAGTAGGTTGATGGTTGTTCTCCGCCATCGTAATCTCTGTTACTGCAACAGGAAACTTGGATCCTAAGGAACGGGAAGTTCAAATTGCTACCGATCGTAATCCCCAGGTTCATAAGCAGTAATTTCACATGAAAAAATCAATTCATTCATACATGATTCAGGAAAACCTCAAATAATGTTTTCCCCTCTTTTCGATGGGTTAGACCCGCCCAACTGAGCGAGGACAGCAAAATGAGCCAGCTAGATACAAAACCACATTAGCACTAAACACATCACACATCGGAGAAGAAATTAACATGGAAGGAGGAAAAGAAGGTAGAGAGCTGGAAGATTGGGAGAACTTACGAGCTAGTGGTTGATGCTGGATGGGCACTTGGGCAGCCGCAGATATCGATCCGCAGCGTTTGTGTTCCAAAAAATGGGAGGGACACAAAAACGCAGGGCCTATTTGGTTCTCTACCAAAATCTAGGCAAATTTTGGCACTACCAATTTTTTGGTAGAGCAAAGTTAGCTAATCTATGTTTGGTTTAATACCAATATAAAGCCAAAATTTAGTATGAGAGTGAAGAAGATTCTAGAATGTAGCCAAATTGAGCGTGGGCACTACCAATTATTTGGTTTCAATCCAAACTAGCATGTTTACTATTAAAGTTACCAAAATTTTGGTAGGGTCACGTTTTGGCTTCAATACAAAACGACCCGCAATCACCCAATCCCGTACGAAATCAGAGCGTGTCAACGCCTATAGCCCGAGCTTTGAGACTGAGCCCAAGCCTGATGGTTTGACCAGTTGAGCAGCAACTAGCACAGCAACTACTGCATCGACACGATTACCAAGATTTAAAATAGAAAAGAAAAAAAATCTGGTGTCACCCTGACCAGCTTGGCAAGCTATGGCTGTGTTTTGGATCTAAAACTTCAGTCCTTTTCCATCACATCAACATGTCATACACATACAACTTTTCAGTCACATCATCTCCAATTTCAACCAAAATCCAAACTTTGCGCTGAACTAAACACAGCCTAAAGCACATGTTGGTATTCCAGAAACGGCAGCAACAAGTAAAACCAGCACCGCAGCTATAAAAATCGACGAAAAAAATACCAAGGAAAAAAAATCCAAATACCCACCCCATCCACTTTAGATGGAAGTTTATTTGCCAAAAACTTTAAAATTCGACATCCAACTCTCTAAACTTCGCAATACCAATATTACCCATAAAGTGTTTTTGCGTATTTAGGATCTTAAACAATCGGCTCTAAATAAAAGGGATTTACTATACAATAACCTGCTGAGATTTTTTGTTTTATCAACCGAATTCCTAGCCAAGATTCATGCATGCGTTACCAGGCCCACAGCTTCATTTGGGTTTGGACCCATTTTGTTTTAGATCCGAACGGATGGAGTGGGCAAGTAGGCGATGCTTTCCGGATCCGTTTTTCACATCGTCCATTCCTAGAGTCGCTCCCCCTCCTCCACTCTCTCTTGAGCTCTCCGCCTCCACCTCGGATTGGGATAGCAACAGTAACTTTGTGATATTCTCAGCCGTCCGATCTATAGTGTATGGATGAGATTAATCGCTATAGTGCACTATAGTACCCTCATTAACAGTACCTCACGCCTGTCACCGTGTCGCCATCGCTCTCCCCCGGCCTCCCCGACAGCAGATTCGGCCGGCCGAAGGGAAGGAAGATCCACTAGAGGGTACCATTCGAGTCTCCGTTGTGCGCTCTCTTCTTTTTATCCTCTTCGTCTCACCACCCCTCCCCCCTCTCCCTCCTTCTCCACTCTGTCCTAGGCCTCCCTGCCGGCGGATCTGGCCAGCTAGAGGGAAGGATACGAGTCGGCGCCATGCGCTCTCTTCTCCTCCCTCTCTTCGGCGACACCCTGCCCCCTCCTACTTCCTCTCTAATCTATCAGCGGCCTCCCCAGCGGCGGATCAGGCTGTCTAGAGGAGAGGAAGATCCGCCAAATAGGAGGATGCGATTCAGCTACTAGTACATCTTTTGATATTTTGGATGGGTATGTTCTATCAGTAAGACAACTATTTCCTTTTGCGTTTCTACAAGAATAGTTAAATACATCTTTTAATTACTGCTCTTTCCTAATTAAACACTATAGGGTGAGCAATACGTTCATGACTTCATGGCATCATAGATATGATACACAGAGAAGCAGATGGAGATGATAGCCTTAAGGTTATGTGGTAGAATTGGTTCAGGTCATTTATCTGGATCTCCTTTATTGATTTTCCTAATTCGTGTTTAACTACTTGTCTCAGTTTTCTGTATATCACTGTCTATTGTAACTGGAGTATCTATTTGTGTATCTCTGTTATTGGTTGCATGTTTTACAGTAAAACTTACAAAATTAGCATTTTTTTTTATTCGTCACTAGTTTTGTCATCTCTTAACATTACCTATTTTTCTTAGTATTTGAATTTTGTTTGGTAAGTGCAATTAGCAAATTAATTTTGTTAGCTAATACCTAGTTTTGTCACCTTAGTTTTGTAACTAGCGTGTTCCTTGCAGTGATTAGATGCTCTGAATTTGATCCATGCGTGTCTATAATTTTAACTATCTTCAATTACGTTACACGTTCTCAGAGGCTACCTATGCCCCTGAGAGGAGAATATATATAGAGCGCCATGCATAGAAGTCTTTTAAGATCAAATGTAAAATATGTTATGGGAGGAATAAAATCATATCAACAACCCACACAAGCATACATAGATGCGACGTGAAGGGCACATCAAAGACTCCATACATTTAAGCTCTAAAACAAAATGGATTACAAAATATTAGGACATGACATGAGGGGATACATATACTATTCAGGTGAAAAAAAAAAAGAGCTGCCGACGAAGCTGCACTACATATCCAAGAAGTATTGTCACGCGTAGCGGCGAAAATGGCTTGTGATCTCGGCCATCAGCTGAGGAGATGGTCTACCAGAAGTTGGAATGGCTAGAAAATCTCTTGCAATCCTGGCTACCGTGGGATACCTGCCACAGTTGTTCTTCCACCACTTGAGAATATCGAAATCCACTTGATCCAGAGGGACGGTTTCATCTTGCAGATAGGCTTCGAGTTCTCTCATGTGTTCCTGTGAACTCGTATTGCCCTGCTCTGTGAGTTGCAAAGTACTCCCATTCCCTTGTATTGATGGATCCACATCCATTTCATGGATATGATTAGCATGCTCTGTGGCATTGCTCTCATTATTGTAATCTGTTTCAATGCCTTGTGTTTTGTACTCTGTGAAGAGCTCACGAAATTTTTCTCCTACCTTAGAAACTAGATCTACAGAGGGAGCATTCTTAAGAATGCTCTGAAAATTCTTGAGTAAGTTTTCAACATAGACGAGCTTATATCTCGGATCTAGAATAAGTGGTATGCTTAGTAACAAATATGACTTTAACAGAAAGCGGTCAAGTGTGCTCATTGCGTTCTGAACAGATATTAAAAGAACATGTTCATCCTTGAAACAATCAGTTAGTTCACCACTGGAATTTTGCATCCTTCCTGAACAATTGTTGAATCCGAGTACTAACGTGTTTCTCACTTCCAGCATCTCTATGAGGACCAAATTTGAAGTAGGCAAGCTGGAGGTTGACATCGTTTTGATGGCATGGTATATCCTTCCTAGCGTAGTGCGTAACACTTCTGTAATCCATGTCTCATGGAACATGACTTTGCCTGCTAAGGCTCTAATTTTTGCTGGTCCGGAAGAGCATTCCTTGTGAATAATTTGTAGCGCATAATAATGTGCATACCACCACTCGTCGTATGTCCAAGGGTGATCTAGCTGCAAATGCGAAGAAATTTCTCTGCGTTTCTTCTTCAAATTTTCATCTTCAAAGGCGTCGAGGCAATCTTGTCCGTAACAACTGAATGGATGTAGATTCGAAGCAATATCAGGTAAATCCCACCGTAAATTGGTAGCACAGAGCAGCTCATGTTGGGTTGCAGATAGATGTGGTAGATCATTATCATCGTAAATTATTTTTCCAAATTTTGTCGTACCAAAATTTTCTATTAGAACGCCACTAAGCTTAGACAAAAGGCCCCAATGAGAAATAATTCCCAACATACGCTCATAGTCCTCCGGCTCCCAATCTGTAACTGGGATGTCTATGATGTAATCTTTGATATCCAATATCTTACTGAGACCATAGGTGGTGTCATCTTCCACTTCTAATGCCTTAAACACCTGTATAACTCTGCAATGGAAATTCCACTCTTCATCAATGAAGTGGGCAGCCAAATACGCAACTTTCCCCCAGGCAGTTGTGGTTTTTCCTAATGATAAGCTAGCAAGCCCAGGCGTACGCCCAATAGCATCCTTCAAGCTGCTCATTTCTCGGTCGAAGAGCTCATCGCACCTCTTCCGGACATCGTCTCGCGACGGCATCTTGAAGTCAGGGCAGAGCATCCGAACAAATCTTGTGAACTCCACGTCTTCCACCATGGAGGAAGGGAACCCGTGCAGCGCGATCATCCTGATGAGCTGATCTTCAGCAGCAGCAGCAGCCGCTGTTTGCTCACCCAAATCATCAGAGCTCGATCTTGAGAACGCCGATGCACCATGATGAGAGCCCTGCTGCCTGCCACGCTTCCGGCAGGATTCCTGGTAGTGCCTGTTGAGACGCGAGGTGCCATTCTTGTAGCTGAGCAAGTTATGGCAGTGCCTGCACTCTGCCATGTTGTCAGCCTTCTTCTCAAAGTGAGCCCAACACTCTGACCCCATGCCCACTGCACAACAGAGAACACTTTGATCCAAAGGAGGAATGGGAAGTTGCTACCAATCATAAGCAAAAGAAGACGATATCATATGAAAAATCAATCAGTTCCCGAATGATTCAGTAAAATAAAAAAACTCAAAAGGTTAACATAGAACAGATGCATATGTATGGATGCCTGAAAAGATTTTGTTTCAAATTTCCCCCTTCCAGCCGGGTTAGAGTTAAGAGTTAAACCAATCTAAGAACAAGAAGAGATCCGCTAGCCAAAACCAAATTAACCTATCAAAAGTAGAATAAGAGTTAACATAGAACAGATGCCTGAAAAGATTTTGTTTCAAAATTTCCCCTTCCAGTTGGATTAGAGTTAAGAGTTAAAAGCACCTAAGAAATCCGCTAGCTAAAACCAAATTACAGTTTACCGGTACACAACACACCTGCGGAGAAACAAAGGAACGAAAGAGAGAGGTAGCCGATCTGGGAGAACTTACCTGATGAGAAGGCTGATCGATGGAGGGATGCTCCCTGCCACTTTCCTGAGCCTCTCTCTCGATCGATCCGGCTGCTGCCTGCTGCTGTTGCTCGGCTGCTTCTTCTCCAACTTCTTCGCCTAGTAGGAGTATACGAAGAGAGCGAGACGGTCAAAATGGAAGGGACCCACCCAACCAGGAGCGTGTCCACATCTTGGGGACTGGGCGGCCACAGCCCACCCCTGAGCCCGAAGCCTGAGCCTGAGCCTGAGCCCGAGCCCGATATTTGTCCTGTGTTCACACTTGTTGACAAGGAACCGGCTCAACCGACGGGTTAATTAAGGGTTGGCGAGAAAAAAAACCACTGTATATCACGTCGGATATAAGGATATATATTTAAATTATTAAACATAGTTTAATATCAAAATAAGTTACAGATTCTACTAGGAACCTACGAGACGAATTTATACCTAATTAATCCGTTATTAATAAATATTTACTGAATCATGGCGTAATTAAGCTTAAAAGATTCGTCTTGTAATTTACGTGCAAACTACGTAATTAATTTTTTCTACATTTAATACTTTATGTATGTGTCTAAGTATTCAATATGACAGTGCGAAAAATTTTATTTGGAAACCGCCCTAAGCAAGAACAGAAACGTGACACACGCTGACCTGCCTGACCATCAAAACCACAGGTTTGGTAGGAGACTTGCGTTCGAGCGCAGGAAAAGATTGTTTCGTTTTCCACCCGCACGCTTCCCGAACTATTAAATGGTGTGATTTTTGTAAAAAAATTATATAGGAAAGTTACTTTAAAAAATCATATTAATCTATTTTTAAAGTTTAAAATAGTTAATACTCAATTAATTATGTGCTAATGGCTCACTTTATTTTACGTATCTTCTCAATCTCCCCAATCCCCTTCTTCTCAAACACACCTATTAATTCCCGGTAACGAGTAAAATCAGCTAGCACCGCAGCTATAAAAAGTTGAAGGAAACAAAAATCGGATTTGGTAGAAAACTTTCACAAGTTTTTTTTTCCAGAAACTCTCATATTTGTAACCATCGAATCGTCTCGAGATTTGTGCATAAAAGAAAAATATTACTATAAAGAAATTTTTACACATGTCACGAGCAAAATCCTAGTGCTAGCTACCCAAACTATAGTTGGATGCAAGTTTTATATAAGCTATATGATAGTTCAAGTATAGTCAGTTACAGCGCGGTTACAGTATAGTTACACTATAATTATATTTTAATTATATTATAGGTACATCTGAAAGTTTCTAACTCAAACAACTTGCGGCAGCGGCAGTTTCTTAGATAAAAAAAAATACAAACAACAAATTGTCATTGCCCGGATATGGACAATTCAACGGAAATCAATCGGAAATCCTCTTTGGCGATCGATTGCCCTGGCGATGTACCAGCGATCAGTTCCCCCTCCCTCCACCTGGTTTCCTTTTTTGCACCGCATTAATTTCCTATTTTAGTAAATTTATGCACCTAAAGTTTATACACCTTAAGTTTACACATCTAAAGTTTAGAGACCAAAAGTTTATATATCCGATTTAAATTTGAATTTAAATTCAAATATTTTTATATATAGTATTTCTATACATCTAAAGTTTATAGAACTAAAGTTTATAGATCTAAAGTTTATAAGTCAAAAGTTTATATACCCGTTTCAAATTTGAATTTGAATTATATCTGATTTAAATTTGAATTTGAATTCAAATATTTTATTCAAATTTGAATTTTAATTCAAATATTTTTTTATATATAGTATTTCTATATATCTAAAGTTTATAGACCTAAAGTTTATAAGTTTATAGATCTAAAGTTTATAGACCTAAAGTTTATAAGTCAAAAGTTTATATACCCGTTTCAAATTTGAATTTTAATTATATCTGATTTAAATTTGAATTTGAATTCAAATATTTTCTATATATAGTATTTCTATACATCTAAAGTTTATAGATCCAAAGTTTATAAGTCAAAAGTTTACATACCCGATTCAAATTTGAATTTGAATTCAAATTTTTTATATATAATATTTCTTGACATAAATTTGTTTAACTTTTGTTTTTTTAAAATAATTTTGTGGTGTACTGTAGTAGGGAGGAGGAAGGGGGAGAAAGGGACGTATAGGAGGAGGGGGGTGCGGGATCGCTCCCAGCAATCACCCGCGCATTAGCAGCCCCCGAAATCAATGCCTCGGGTGATCAAAACAATCTGCACACGTTACAAACCGTACGAAGAGGAACGAAGTGACGAACCACACTCTCCTCCTTTCCTCAGTCGCTCCCCGTCTCGGGTGATTAAACCTTGTTTGAATAATTTAACAGGATTTCGCTCAATTCTCTCATTGGAATAAATTAATTAATTAGGGACAATTTTGTTTTTCCCCACTTTGATCTCTAATATTGATTTTGCCCATACTTTTTAGGGTTTCGTTTTTTCCTCTACTTTTTTTAACCGAAAGATACTTTTGCCCCCGTTTTGTTTGGATGGAGGAGTTAACGGTGTTAAATAGGACATTTATGCCATCTTCCATATCTATTCATTAATTGTGTTTTTGCCCCCATTATGCAATGGCTTTGGAAATTTATTTTTTTATATGTTTAAAATTAAATGATAGATTTTGACATTACAATTTGGACAAAATTTGAATTTGATGGAATTTTGACAAAATTTCGGCAGTATTTTGATAGAAATTGAACACAAATTTGGACGAAATTTCAACAACATTTTACACAATCAAAGCCACCAATAGCTCATGTCACAAGGCCGACGCCAGCCGCGTCCAAGCCCCCTGCTGTTCGGCGCCGCCCAACCACCTCAACGCCGCCGCCTACCCCTCTCCCCGCCGCCGCCTAGCGCGCCGCTTGGCCACCGCTCACTCGCCGCTGCTGCTTGCCCGCCTCGCTGCCCTCTCCCCACCGTCGTCTCCCCGCCGCCTAGGGCAGTGCTGGGCTCGGATACGCAGGAAGGAGCGGCGCCCGGCTGACGCCCGCTCTCCTCCGCCGGATAGGGAGATCTAGGTCTCGGGTTTGAATCACACTAGAGGAGAGGAGACAAAGTCTGTATGACCCTTAACTCTTTTACACGGGTAAAAAGATAAATCACTAATTCGAAAAATCTTTATTTCCTGCCATAAACCCGGTCCCACTAACTTCCATTCAAACCAGTGGTAAACGCCTCTTTCGATTCAAAAAGTGGAGGCAAAAATGAAAACCTAAAAAATAGGGACAAAATCAATATTAAAGATCAAAGTGGGGGAAAAAGGGAATTGTCCCAATTAATTAAGATCGAATTCATCTCCCAAAATGAAAACTTTACATTCTTTTCCCAAACAAAAACTTCATATTACCCTAAGGCCTAAGCAGATCATGGAGGCCTAGTTTTTCTATTTCTCATGGGCCATCCAATACGGCCTTTTCAGCCCAAGCACAATCTGAGCCAGAATAAGTTCACTTAGGTCCCTCAATATCGCTAAGTTTGGCATTCGCCCTTCAACCGCAATATCAGATATGACACATCCCTCAACACCCAAAACCAGTAGTTCCAAGGTGGTTTGAATAATGATTTCAGCTGACGTGGCACTTAAAATCAGAAAAACCATGGGATCCATATGTCAATGAGCCGAGATAGAAGATGGCTTTGCCTACCTCCGCAGTAACCAAAGTAGGCCCTCCTCACGTAGGCCACAGTCAGGAATTGCTTTAGCGCCGCCCACCGCAATGCCTCGGCTCGTCCTCCTTCTCCCTCCAGGCTTCCACAACACAACCCGTCACTTGCCCTTCTCCCCGCCACCCTAGGCCAGCTACCGGATGCCGAGAAGGACAAGAAGCAAGAACAGAAAAAAAGAAAGAAAAGGAAAAGAAAAGAAAAGAAAAAGGTGACCAAGTGTAATTTTTTTATTTTTATAACTGGAAACTCACTAATATGAGGGTCCTATTTTTTTCTAACTTTCATTGTCACGTTAACAGGAGGTGCCACGTCATCTGAAACCACCCTGGTATCTTATTTGCACTGACTTTGAAAGTTGAGGGACACTTCTAGCCTATTTGGTAGAGCTCTAACTCCTAAATTTAGTTCCATGAGTTGGGTCTGGAGTAGAGTTGTGGAGCTACCTAAACCCAGCTTCACCTTTCTAGTTCATTTTGTGAGAGAGCTTCATCCAGCTCCGCTCCTAATTTAGGTGGAGCTGAAACTGTTTGGCTGAGCTCTAGCTCCAGGAGAGGTGGAGCTGAAGCTGAAGCCAGGGGCAGATCTACCATGGGGGCTATGGGGTCTCGTGCCCCTACTACCGGCGTTACAACCATAAAACCCCCATGAAGTCCCCACTGCAATTTGAGAGAATCTATTCTATACCACTGAGTTTATCATAGTTCAACAATTTACCATTGACTTTGTCTCTTTCTACAATATACCGGTGACTTTATCAATTGTTCTACAATATGTCATTGCGTTGAGCCTATTTTTCAATAATACCTAAAATACCCTTATGTACGTATAAGGTTAACAATTGATTTATATTATTATAAGTTTTAAAAAAAATGAAAACTTTTATATGGCCTCTTTACACAGTATAAAAGTTTGTATATAAGTTTCATTTTTCTTGCATTTCTATTTTTTTAATATAACTTATTTGTTATATGCTATATAAAATATTTTTGTGTTGTTATTTTTAATGTGAATTATCTTTCATATGCAACATAAGATATTTTTTGCTATTATCTTTTGTGTAATCTATTTTTCTCTGATATACCACACAAAAATATTTTTTTCTAAAAAATAAAAATACCAAAAAAAATTGAAAGTTATGTACATACTTCTCTGTTGTGTAAGGAGGCCATATTAAAAATTCATATTTTTCTGAAACTTTTTAATGAGATAAATTAATTGTTAATCATATATGTCTGTAAGGGTATTTTGGGTATTTTTTTAAAAGAGGCTCCATCCCAATGGCATATTGTAGAACAATTCATAAAGTTATCGGTATATTGTAGAAAGAGAGAATGTCAGTGGCAAATCATTGAACTGAGATAAGCACAGTGGCATATAATAGATTCTCTTAAGAAGGATAATTGCGATTGAAGTGGTAGATCTAATCAACCTGACAAATCAACACACAACTATTGCGGGTTCTTAATTATTGCGGGTTCTTGCTGGGT